GATGATTATCTCTTCAAGAAGCCATCAGGGAGTAAGATCAGGAACAGCTTCAATTGTACAGGTAACACTTTACTTCTCAAACAGTTTGGAGCACATGTCTGTTTTTCTTGATATGCCACATTTTGTCTGAAATACTTTCTAACCATTTTTTTTTTTTTTTAAGTAACCACCAAAACATCTTTAACCAAAAGCTGAATGAAATAAATGAAAACACTTCCCTGGAATATTAAAGGTCAATGGAAATAGTGTGTCAGTTTCAAACATTCTCCTCATGAGCTTAAAAGGCAAGTATCGGGGCGCCTGGGTGGCGCAGTCGGTTAAGCATCCGACTTCAGCCAGGTCATGATCTCACGGTCCGTGAGTTCGAGCCCCGCGTCGGGCTCTGGGCTGATGGCTCAGAGCCTGGAGCCTGTTTCTGATTCTGTGTCTCCCTCTCTCTCTGCCCCTCCCCTGTTCATGTTCTGTCTCTCTCTGTCCCAAAAATAAATAAACGTTGAAAAAAAAATTAAAAAAAAAAAAAAAGGCAAGTATCACTATGATCCCCGAATATGTGGGGGAAAAGAGTGCTGGGCTATAAAAAAAAAAAAAAAAAAAAAGGAGGGGGCGTTGCCTGGGTGTCTCAGATGATTAAGGGACCACCTGACTCTTGATTTGATTTTAGCTCAGGTCATGATCTCATAATTCGCGGTATCAAGCGCCACTTCAGGCTCTGGGCAGATAGCTAGGACGCTGCTACGGATTCTCTCTCCTCTCTTCTGCCCTTCCCCGCTCACATGTGTGTGCACTGTGCGCAGCGTGCACGCACTCTCTCTCAAAATAAATAAACATTTTAAAATATATTTCAAAAATATGTACATAAAACTATTTCCAATTTCCAGCTTAGTAAAATATTAAAAGAACACACACAGCGCAAAACACAAAACGAACTGTATTATTAGCACCATGATTGAATCACTTAAGAATACTCAGATAGCTAATAACTTTTACTCTAAACATCTGCCTAAGAAAAATACATTCAAGAGTCACATCCGATAGCCTAGTGTTTAATCTTCAGGGTTGTTTTTACCGAGATTGCAATGATTCGCCTAAACTAATCAAAGGCCTGTCTAAACCTCTACATGGAACCTACCTGTAAAAACTAAATGCCTCTGCAATTTCTGAAATTTTCCAACAAGAAAGTACAGGTCATTCAGCAAAATATATTTACTGTATACTACCATAATAGCTATTTAATTGTTATCATTATGATGCAGATATATAATGGAAACAGATGTTCCTTTTTCCTTTCAGCAAAGCACAGGAAAAGCATAAACTTGCTGATATTGCATGGACTACTATCATAGCACAATAGAGGGGGAAAAAACATTAGCACATGACAATATTAGTTTTTACTACACAACTAATTGCATAAAAAGTATAACTTGAGATCATTAAATCAATGATCTACAGAAGGGAAACAAATAGATTTGTATAACCAGCCTATTTCACATCTGCAGTTGAGAAAATACTTCTGAGAGACTAAGTGTATGCAAAATGCTACCAGTGCTTTCAGAAGACAAAGAAAGAATGTTGTTCTATTTTCTTTGCTCATGTAACATAGATTACAATGCTGCCTCTACAGAGAAATTTTTTTCAATAGTACCAGTATAAACTGGAAGAACTTTTCTGGAAAACAATTTGGCCATCAATATCAAGAACCTTAAAAAAAGTCTATACCCTCATCCAAGTGAATTCTTTTGTAATAATATATTGTAAGGAAAGAGCCAGAGGGATGAATAAGATTTATTTAAAAAGCCATTTATCATAACTTTATTTATAATTATGGAAAATTAAAAATCTAACTCTCCAATAGAACAATGAATAATTATACATGCTAAAACATTAAACAGTCAACATAAATGACTTTAATAATTTTAATTACACAGGAAATTTTCTACTATTTAATGCCAACTGAAAAAAGCAAGATACAAAGTGGTGTCTATCTATATATAAATAAAACATATAAATGCTTGGAGAAAGGCTTAGAGAAATATACAAAATGTCATTTTTAACTTTTGCAAATTATTATGAGCAAATACTAACTAGCTTTTTAATCACAAAAAGTTGTATTTTCTTTAAATAATTAATTCTATATCTATGCTCTAATACTCTGTGTCCTTGTCCAAAGTTTCTAAAAATTCTTTGCACCAAATAGCCCTATAAGTATTTATAAGTAAATTTACCTAAATTTATGTTGACAAGTTACTTGATCCTAAAATTTGACATATAAAGAAAAGTGTTTGTCAATCACATAGACAACACATTTTTTTCCTGAGTTAAATAGGATGCTTACAAATTAGAGAAAATTTTTATGGGACAAATATTATAAATGCTTACTTACAAACTACCAATAGGATGTGTTTTAAGTCACCAAGTCAAAGACATTTTTCAAATAAAACTATTTCTAAGCCAGATAAAGTAGCCTATTAATTGTTCTCTCCAATATGCCAATAAAAAGTTTGCCATAGCTTTCATTAGGATTCCTGGTTTCATGATTCTATTTTTACAAAAAGGAGCTGATTTGTCTTAGGCTATTACTGTCTATTACTTCTAGAAGTCTTGAGGAAAGGTGGGAAGCAGCAAATTCTGGCAATCTGCCTAAAGAGAAATCAATGAAACAAATTAATCCTTCGCAGGCTGCAATGACACAGTAATCCATCATTCAGAGCTGCTTTTATATACCAAATCAGAGAGCAGAGGAAAGAGCCCTGGGGGACATCACAGACAACAACTTACACCAACACTGGGAAAATACTGAGGAATCAGTTTATTTAAAGAGGATAGATTTCAGTTGATTGCCTATTTCGTCAAATAAAGATTTTTTCTTTCACAGTGTAGTGAACCCAAGGCCCAATGACTTTATCTTCAGAATTCACTACCAAATACGCTGGCCGACATCAATAGGGGATGAATGTTTTTAAATAATTAGCATCATTAATCAGTATAAACAAATATCTGGCTAAAGTAATATTACTTTTTCCATTAAAACTCCAGGTGTTAAACACATTCCTTGTTTTCAGTACAGACTAATTCTAAATTCACCTACTAATCTCCAACTTAACTGACCAATTTCTGGTAAACCACATTGAAGTATTTCACACATAAAATGTAGCCATTTACAATATGGGTAATTTTCTAAGTACTGTGTCCAGTTTAAGGACTTGAAAATTTTAATTTCATCTCTTGCCATTTAAGATTCAACAGCAAATCAGATTATAAATAACTTCTTTCACAATAATAAATAGTTCTTTAGCTTTTAATATCATTGGCAATGCTGAAAGATAAAATTAAACATGGTTTCTTTTTTAAAAATAAACATATCAATGTATGGCAGTACATTCACATTGAGTATATTTATTTACACATATACAAGAACATATGCATCTAAATTTATTCATGCTTATGTAGAAACTTATGCACCTGGGTACATCTTACTCTAGTAAGATGTACTGAGTGGGATTATATTTCCTAGATGAAAACTAATGACAAGAACAATACAGTCACAGCAATATTACTATTCCTAAATACAAATGCATCATTCTTGTGGCTGAACGTGAGAACTGAAAGAAAAGAATTTCCAAGAAATAAACAAAAACAACAAAAACCTGTCACGATGGTCTCTGAAATGTTAAAACCCAGAGCATCTAATCATAGATGCAAAATAGAAAAAGGTTAAATAAATGCTAACTAGTCAATTTGTGAGTGGCATCTTCGATTCTGTGGTCCATGGCCATATGACTGCAATTCCTGGCCATGCTGATACATTTTTAATTCAATACATGGATCTAGTATTTATTGATTTAATAAGGTTAGGGTATTACATTGTGGCTGCTACTGATGAACTGTCAGCAGTTCTATCTAGTAAAATCTTACAGAGGAGTATCTATTTTAGGGGGGAGAGAGAGAACAGCTACGTAAATGTAACCCCTTCACTACCTGACAGTGGCAAGAGTAAGGTCCCTTCTTTCCTAGACTGCTTCGAGCTCCACACATCTTCTACGACTGAAGATGTTGGCTGCCAACTGACCGAGGTGACCGTGAAGAGACTGCAGCAAAGCCTTCCAGGTACACCTTCAAAATGAGGGAAAGCAGTGATTTACATCCCCATCTCCACCCTCTGGCCTCTCCTCATAGGTTGTGAAGCCCATACACAAGCAAGGACATTACACATGCGCAGACACACCCAAAGACCTGAGCCCTTACCTTGTCACCTAACAGAGTTTAAAGGAGCCTTCAGTGACTTCTCTCTCTGGACCCTAACATCGTCCACTGCTTCGTTAGCATGCAGGCAGACATAAAAGAAGGGAGAAAATTCACTTTCTCGAAAACAGTTCTGCCAAAATGCAACCCAAGGAGAGAGGCTTTAAAGCCTCTGTGAAATAAGGAGGTACCACAGGATCCAGCATCAGAAAAGGGGAGAGAAATCCACCAAAGTTGCTGAAACACTTGGGGACTATTAAGAAAGCTTTTTGCACTGCTGTGCTACCCTGCTTGTGGGCTTATTTTCCCAACCTAGACACCTGGGAAGCATGTTGTGCTCCAGCTTTTCTCTGACTTTGAAGAAATGGATAATCTAAGGAGTGGTGCTGCTGCTGGGGTCAGTAAAACTATGCTAATTGGTGAACCTAATTGCTTCAAGCAGTCCTGCCTCTAAACAGGGAGAGCACAGTTGATGGAGTCAGTCTGTTCCTAATAAAATGAAGAAGCACTGAATTAAATTCCCAAGGAAGGCACTATAAAAGTTTCCACAGTGTAACCAAATGACTTCACCTATGCTATTACCCCTAAGATGACATCTTTGAAAGAAAGCAGAGCCCAGTCAGGCTCCATATTCATAAATTGGCTGAGCTTAGGCCAGTGAATCTGGATTGATTTAAAAAGGCTTTTTCATCCTTCCAATCAAATGAAGTCACTGTTAATTAGATACTTTCTGTTAACAATGTCACTCTTCTCCACGTTACCTGCTCACACTTGCAGCGCCTCTAGTGCAACATCTGGAGCACCAGTTTCCCTGCAATCAGTCCTCACAAGTTTGGCTGGAGGGTGGTGGTATTTCCGTTTCTCAATCCCTGTCTGGAGGAAGATACTATTCAGTGCACCGGTGGCGAGATACATACCAGCTCGCTAATTTGCAAGATTATACAACACTCTCTGAGAAAACTCTCCAGATACGGTCCCCCAAAACATGTTTTGATGAACTGCACGGCGGTTTCTCTGTGCTGTTCCCGCCTTGCAGAGGTTTTCAAAAACGCCAAAGGCCACAAAGTTAACTCCCACTGACTTTGCGGCTTCTTCAGGCCAAAACTAGAAAATCGGGTTTGAGGTTTCCTGGCCGCGCCCCAGGCCTTGCTGCCTACCCTTCTCAGCCCAAAACCTGAAGGGGACTAGGTGCTCAAGGCAGGGCCCAGCGTTAGTCAGCCCCGGAGCACCGCAAAGGCTCAGAGCGCTCTCGCCAGGGAGGGGAAGACTGCAAAGGCGGTCTCTTTCGACGGTGAGTCTCTGAACTTGACCAAGTTGCGGAGAAGTCGGCTCTCACCCGCTCCGGGCCCATTCCCAGGAAGCTTGCTGCGCCGACCCCGGGACACAAACCGCCAGCGCTGACCGACAGCGTGGGCCTGGGGTTCTCGCCGCGTGCGCCACTCGCCGGTCGAGTCCGTCTTCCTTAAACCCTAAGCCCGCACAGGCCCAGCTCGCGGGCTGGGGACCCCCAGCGCCCGCGAGAGCGCGACCCCTGCCCTCCGACGAGGCCCCGGCGCGCGGATCCCTCGGCCAGGGGGTCTCACCGCGCGCAGCGACACACTTGCGTCGAGCGCCCGGAAGCCAACTCCGCGAGCGAGGCTTCGTGCCCGGATGTGGGCCTAGCTTCCGGGAACTGCTCCCGCCCTGGCTGTGCCCAGGACTGAGTTCCCGGGCTTCGAGGGAAGGTGTGGGGGCCGGCCTGGAGCCCCGACACCGGAGCCCGGTTCGCAGAGAACAGAATCGTTCGCAAGGGAGCGCCCTTGTGGGGTGAGAAATGTGAGGAGACACACGGGAGTAAAGGCCCTCGACTGAGCCGGGGATGACGAGGAATCGCGCCAGGTGCCTCCCGGCCGCCCTCAGGGCCCAACGCTGATCCGAGGGCTTAGGCGGACAAGAGGCCGCCACAGGCAGCTCAGGACCCTGGCAGCCCAAAGGCGGCTCGTCGTTAGGAAAGACTCAGGGACCTGCCGCCAGGTCACGGACCTCATCTGGGCAGGGAGCTCCTGAGCGAGAGTCGCTGACCAGGGCGTGCACCTGCACCTGGGACCCTGCCCCTGACTCTCCGGCGCCCAAGAACCTTGAAGACCGCGGCCATGGAGTTCTCCCCTGCCAGGGAAGGCGGAGGGGCGAGGGGGGTGGGGGCGGTGGACGGCAAGGCAACAGTGAGACTTGAATTCCTAGACATCAGTGAGGGCAGAAACAGACTAGATGAGGTTAGACAGTGACGGTGGAAGGACAGAACCATACCGAGACAGGCACACTCTGGGAGTTGGAACTCTTAATTACATTTCTTCAAATCTTTGACCCCAAAGCTTCGCCCGTGACAACGTATGCCTTCTCCGCAAGAGGGTTTGGGGAAATTAAGTTTCCTGGGACTCTTTGATCCCTGGTATGTGGGCTCACAGGGGAAAGCAGACAATAGCAGCCGCCGAAGCACCTGCGATCTCTCAATATAATAAAATCTGGACAGTAATTGGAGTTGTTTCTCCTTACGCTTCCAGAGGGAGCTCAAACCTGAAGCATCAAGGTTATCCCTCTCCAAAGAGTAAAACAGGATACTCGCAAAATCTGCTAGAGACACAACCGCTCGCACCTAAAGGGGGTTCCCCCTTGCAAACGGGAAAAGCGATCTGGATTTTTTGTTTTGGTTTTTTCATTTCAGCACTTGAGTGGCCCTACGTTGGGGGCTTGCTCAGTGCGGTACACTCCTTTGACACTGACGACTACACTAGAACTGCGCAAAGAGAAATCAGGCGAGGGATAGGGAAGGTGCTGAGGAGAGAGTGTTGGGCAGAAGTCTGGGGAGATGGTGGGCCGGAGACACTCTGAGCCGGCGACGGGACCTAGCGCCGGGAAACCTCAGGACTCCCGGCCCTAGGGCTCTGGGCAAACCTGGCAAAAATAAGGCCACGTGCTTTGGTTTTGCGTTTCAGGGCCACACACAAACACACACACAGCGACACGTGTCTTTCTCTCCTGGTGCTGAGGTCCCAGAGGTTGTTGAGACAGCGTAACCCCGCGAGTTCCCGCCGAGCTCGGCCACTTGACCACTTCGCTCATGCTGGATGAAGGGTAGCTCTAGCGAGGGCAGAAAGAAACGCTAGCTGTGTGGGGATCCAGCCCCGTGCAGGGGAAGGGCTAATGTAGAGGCAGAGTCCGGGATGGGGCGGCATCCACCCTGGCTCGGGGCTCCTCCCCGCCGCCATTCAGTGCGGTCACTTGTCATCCTGAGCTCTCCCGGGTCCTCGTCAGGCCCCCGCTCTCCGCGACCACGCGACAACCCCCGACAGCCCGAGTTGCGCGCCCTGGTGGCCCCCAGGTGCCCCAGCCCTGACAGCCAGGGCTCACCCCTCACTGAAGCCTCTAGATACAAACGGCACAAGCGCTGCTTTTCCTGCCTCCAGATCCGCGTCCTATCCTCCCACCTATCAATGATTCGCCGAGGTTTGGGGTGGTGGTTGTTCTTTTAAAAGTATATTAAAGGATCATTGGCGTCTCCCCGTCAAGTCATTACGCCTTTATCCCCATCAATTAACCACACCTCAGAGGGCTGCTATTAAGAGCTAAATTGAGCTGCAAAAGTAGGTATCCCGTTTCAGGCAGATGTTGTCATCTCCCGCAGAGCTAAGCAGCCGGCGGGGCCAGACCCGCAGCTTCAGCAGCTGCCCGGGCAGCGCTGGACCAGGTTAAGGACTAGGAAGTGCGGGACCAGAAAGGCGGTCCCCGTCCTCCGTTGTGCTGGTGTGCTAGGAGCCTGGTAGAGCGGGGAGGGCCCTAGCTCCCGGACTTCAAGCGTCGTGCATGTCAGAGGCAAGAGTCTCCAGAGTTGTGCCAGGGAAAACGCCAAAAACGAGCCGTGCGTTTTTGCGCAGAGAAGTAGAGTGGAGAATGTTCGCAAAGCCGGAGCTCCCCTCCAGAAGAGGGGCGTGGAAGAAAAGAGGGCAAAGTAATGAGTTTGGTTGGCAGCCTTACCCCAGCAAACCTCACCTCCTCTTCCCGCCACCTTTAGCCTCCTTTTTCCCTGGTAGCAGGCCCCCAGAACCTCAGACCCCCTGGTGGAAGAAGGCGCAGTGTTGTACAGGGATGCTAGCTATACATGGAACTAGGGAATCTGGGACAGAAAGGTGGCATTTAGGACAAAGGGGTTCCCTAGGAACCGCCGCGGACTTCTATACGGGTGTGTCTTTTTACTCTTCCTCACCCCCAGTCACTCCCTAGGTCTTGGGGCAAGGCTGTCCCACGAAACTGAGAGGCGCCGGAGGCTAAGGGAAAGAGGGAATAGGGGACGTGGCCCTCGCTGCAGTTACAGGGCTTTCCTCCCGACAGTGACCACAATAAATTTAGCCAAGACTAAAGGAGATTAATTTCCCAGCATAATCCAATTAAAAGATTTCTAAAGTAATCTTTTGCGAAAATGAAAAAAAAAAAAAGTGCGCAGCGAAAGAGGGAACTGGTTTTGATGACAGTGATTTATAACCTCCACACAGCTGCGCTGGTCCCTCGCTCTCATGCACGCGATTTGACCAAAGCATCCCGTCGGTGCCTCCAGTCGAAACCCTCGCCTTTCTGAAAGACAGCCATCCATCACGCCAACCTGGGCTAGGGTTGCTTACAAGCACCATAGACTTTTTTAAGTGCTATTAGATTTATGGTCTCTTTTTCGACGCCCATCCAGAGTAATTAGCACATATGTTCTAAATAGATGATAGTTTTGTGAGCAATAAAGCAATTACCCATCGTTGGAGCTGACAGTTCCTCCAACTAAACTCCAACCAGCAGCTAATTGGAAAAGTCATTTCAGCTCCATTGTCTGCAATTAGTCCTGCTAAACTACTACACCCCAACTAGCTGGTTTGAGGTTAATTTATTCAGTGTTGTATTTGCAGGAACGAGACACCGGCACGAAGGGACTTGCCTTTTGCCCCTCCAGACTGCGCCCTGCAACTAGAGGAGCAGGTGGGTGTGAGAGGCCAATATTTTGGGGGTTGGTATGATTCTCAGGGGAGGTAACGCCTGGCCTCCTCAGCTTCAAGGTCAGTGTCCAGCTCGCTGAACACAGCAAACAGAAAAAGCTATTGTTTCTCCTACTGGGCAGTAACTGAAGGAAACTGCTCAGTTTGTGCTACAAAACCTTGGTTAAAAATAAGCATAAAAGAGGGGGGAACATAAGCATAGTAGAGGTGACAGGGTTCTGAGTTCACCTTTCCTCTCGCATACCCAGTCCTGACCCTGCCACCAAACTGCCCCCTAAAGAATAAACGTGGACTCAGACCCACACAAAACAGCAAAACTCTGTGCCCTCATTGGGGAAAGACAGCGTTCAATTCTTGGAGTAGTTCAGGGGAAGAAAAGACTAGAAAAGTCAGGAAGCCCTGCTTCTGCCTTCAGCCTTTCTGAACTCAAAGTCACTTTATCCTTGAAACTGGGGGTTCTCCTTGAATTTTTTCCTTTTTTTTCTTCCTATTTTCCTTCCTTATCTTTTTTCCTCTTTCCTTTCTAAAGTTAAGCCCAATGAATCCAATATTTGTGCACAGTGAGTGGAAAAAAAGTGTTAAACGTCAGTTTGACACCCCACCGGAGCTTCCAAATATCCAGCGTCTGGGATTCTTCTACTTAATTTAATCTTTATTAGAAAGGGCGGCTCCTACCCTCCTATTCACCAGGAAACCCCGGGAAACAGATCTGTTGGGGTTCAGAACTGAGGACGGCAAGGAGAGGAGTTAAAGAAGGATTAATCCTCTCCCATCCAACCTCGAACTTTGGAACTTCGATCTCCAGTAGGCTGGGGGACGGGGGAGGGGTTCAAGGTCCCAGCCCTGACAGCCAAGGGTCTCTGCAATCTGGAGCAGGGGGCAGGGAGGCTGGCAGGTTGAGATGGGAACTTGTAGCCCTGGTAACCAAGTATTCTTCTAAAGGAATTTACAGCAAAGTGTCCCAGGCTCTGGGAGCAATGCGAATCTTATTTAAAAGAACATTGCGGGGGAGGGGAAGCATTTCTTAGGAGGTAAAGCCCAGTGCTTTTCAGTCCTAGAAATCAAATGTCCTTTTCTGGATAGTCATTTATGCTTCACCTGAGGGCTGTTTCTCCTTTTTAAAGTAAATGTGATGCTTAAAGAAGACAACTTAGGTGGTATTTTAGTTAGCATATGAGACTTACTAGAATAATTCTAATTTCAAATTTCAAAACAAATTGTAACCAATTTCTCACCTTCAGAGGTTTGGAGTTATGTATCTATAGCAAGAAAAACTTTTAAATTGCCTAATGTCAGGCTCTTGTTTTCCACTTATTTATTGTGTTTTAACCAATTTAATTCCAAGAAAGACCGAAAAGAAAAAATATTGGGGAGAAATTGAAAGCAATGGTCTCGTGTTACCCTATCACCTCTCTCTCACCTGTCACACAGTCTCCACCCTCTGAAAAGAAATCCGCCTGTCAGTGTGACTTCCAGTTGAAAATGGAAAAGAAATGAGATGTTTTCACTAAAAGGCTGTCCATCGTCCAACAATTATTTGTTTTGTTTTTTTTTTTTTAACTAATATGACATCCCGCAGAGTGAGGACAAGAAAGAACTGAAGGAAAAGTGGCTCCAAGTATCACCTAGACTTGGTAGAGAATCTTCATGTGGGTGTGTGCATATTCATGTGTAAAGGCAAAATAAGCAACCCAATCCGACCCTGCCCCCAGAGTGTATAGGAAACATTTACATACATATCCATGTACTCCGAAAAATCTCTAAGCACATGTGTGCAGAAATGTAGTCCTACGCAAGCTCAGCTTGCACACACAAGCTCCACACACATGTATTCACTTCTGGACTAAAGGCATTTCATTGCTCCCATAGTTTCTTTCCATTAAGAGCGATTAGATAATGTCCATTCAAAGTTGCTGATCCAGAGAGAAAATAAGAGTAGATAAAAGGAGATTTCAAGTGACCTCCTCGTCCCTTTCACACCAACCTGAGCCCTAGAATAGCCAAGGATCAACTCACACAAAAGCCCTTTCCTTTTGCTTTTCAGCTTCAGAAGATTTCATGCAAAGGGTTAAACAATAAAACAGAACTATCCTCAAGTTTTGTTAGATCATGCTTTTGGAAT